CATCCTTCTGACTTCTGCCTAAGTGACTTTTTTCACACGGGTCAACGATTCTCAGCAGAATAAACACTGACCCTCTGCATCTGTCTACAGCGCGTGGCTCTCCTGTCTCACCCTTACCCAGAACCAGCTCTGCACATACTCTTTGTATTGCCCTGTTGGTACATATGTTTTGGGAATTAGCAAAATTGAAGGGTTAAGGACCCAAAACAGGAGACCAGTGTCACAGTGCCCCTTTTGTTCAGCCGCCCAGAGACCCTCTCATACCTTCCCCAGGCTCCTTCCCTCTTGAAGCCTATGGTTTACTGGGAAAAACAGGCAATAAATAAGTGAACAAATAATTATAGGAAACTGGATGCAGGGACTGGAATACCAGAGAAGGGCAAGATCTCTCTGAGGAGTTGCCTTTTAAGATGAGACCTAGGAGATGAGAGGGAGCCAGCGCGGGAACGAGCTAGGCATAGAGAGCCATCCTGCTGGAACGCCAGGGCAGAAAGGAGGCCCTGGGGCTTGGGGAGGCCGCCAAGGGGCAGCAGGCAGGGCCAGGCTCCCAGGAGCAGGGCAAGGTTTCACACCAACACAATGGAACCCACCAGATGGTCCCAGGCAGGAGGATGGCATGATGTGACTTATGTGTTTAAAAGATGGCTCTGGCTACAGTGTGGGGGGAAACTAGAAACAGGGGGAAGGGGCTCCCCAGGGAGTAGGGGAGGAAAGAAGAGAATGAATTTGAGTTCTTGGGGGATTTAGAAACAACCAGATGAGCTGATAATGTGAAACTGTGGAGGAGGCATGGGGGATACCTGGCTTTAGACGTCTGCCTTTAGCACCTGGGTGCCCCATGAGGGGAAGGAGAGATGGAGCAATCAATAGTTCCATTTTGGACATGTTCCATCAGAGACGGCCGTGGGACAGGCAAGGGGAGATGTCAGGTGGACAGGTGGATATATGAGTCTGAGCTCGGGCTGGACATCTGGGCTGGAGATATAAATTCAGGGGTTGTCAGTCATGGGAAGGGATATTATCAGCTAGTGAGAGGGGAGAGAGAGAAGAGGAGGAGGCCCAGGACCAGGTCTGGGGATCCCAACGTTAAGAGGCTGGGGAGATGAGGAACCTGCAATGGAGGAAAGGAGAGGACGCCAGAGGAGGTGAAAACCAGAAGAGGTGGCACCTGAATCCCAGAGAGGAGAGGCGTTGCGAGGGGGAGGTGGGACCCGGGCAGAGGGGGCAGCCGCGGTCCCAGGCACTGCTGAGAGACCGAAGGCAAGAGGACCCAACGGGCCTCCCTAGCCGTGGCCCCATGAGAGCCGGCCACGACAGGAGAAGGAGCAGAAGTTGAGGGTGGAAGGTGGACGGGGGTGGGCAGTGGCAGGTGGAGGTGGAGAGAGCAGTGAAGACAATTCTTTGGGGAAGTTTGGTTGTAAAGGGGAGTAAAGGAGTCTCCCGTGGAGGCTGAACCCCAGGGCAGGACAGAAGCACAAGTGTTTGAAAACAATCTCTGGAGAGCCGAGGAGGTGCCTCGGGTCTGTTGTGGCTTTTCTTTTTTTTTTTAATGATGATGAGCAGGTATAGTTGTGTAACTCTTCACAGTTTACCAAGTGTTGTCACACACAGCTCGCGCTTAATCCTCACAGCCATCCTGTGAGGTAAGCAGCAGCCTGGAGATACAGATGCGCGGAAGCTCAGGATTGAGTGACAAGGTCAGAGCTAGGAGCTGGCAGGGGCAGGGCCCTTCCCAGGCTGCTGTTGGCCTGACCCCAGCTGGCTCGTCCTTGGCTATTAGAGGCCATAGCTGCTTATCAAGAGCATGGGACCTTGTCCCACTTCCTGGCCCATTTAACTGTGCTTCAAAGCCCCCTGGATTTCTCCAGTGCCCAACAATCTCCGGCAGGTAACAGAGAGAGGACATGTGTGACCCCAGGTAGCTCACATCCAGCTCCTCAGGGTGGAGACTGGTGCCACAGAGTGACTGTGGGCAAGTCACCTCACCTCTGTGCCTCAGTCCCCACGTCCTGGGATCGCCACCAGGATGAAGCGAGAGTGTGATTCTGAAGTGCTGAGCACGGAGCTGGGCACGTGGGGACCTCTGTGCTAAGGCCCCCAGAATGACGCTGATCCACTCACTCACTCCCTGCTCATGCTCACATCCAATGTTTGTGGAGCACCTTCTCCCGCAGCACGTGGCGCCAGGTTCAGCACAGGGAGGGCGCAGTCACCCCGCCCGCTGCCCACCTCAAGAAGCATGTGTTTAATGAGCAAAGGACACGGAATACAAACACCTCTGCCCTCACAGGGAAAAGCAAGGTGCAGAATCCTGTGGCTCTTCAGCGGAGAGGTCACAGCCAGCCAGGGCAGCCGGGACAGGCATGGTGGGGGGCCAGGAGGGTGGGAGGATTCCCCGCAGCAGGGGCAGCTTCAGCTGAGCAAAGACACAGGCGCTGCTGGAAAGGGCAGAGCGTCTGCAGGGCAGGGCGAGGAAGCAGACCGAGTGTCAGCTCCCTGGGGAAAGAGGGAGGGAACGGGCTGGTTTCCCTGGGAGAGGATCCTGAGAGGCTCTGGGCAGCAGGCCAGCCGGCCAGCCAAGGGCAGCCCGGTGGAGGGAAGGTCTGGCAACCCCAGCACTGCCCCCTGGACGTACGTAGTGCTTGTTAAGAACCCCACTCAGGAGCCGTTGGGTGGGCTCCATGTCTGGGAGTCCTAGGGGTACAGGTGGGGGGAAGAGGGCCAGAGCACCAGACTGCCCAGGTCACTGTGGAGGCCTAGGGACACCTCATTGTGCAGACCCAACGTAGATCACAGAATAATAAAATGCATCAACATAGAGACGCTGTGGCCGGAACAGAATGGAAGGCCCAGAGGCACACCCCCACCGCTGCACATGCCCATCCACTTTGTGAAAGGAGAGCCCAACTCTCTCACTTCACGAAGGAGGAACCCAGCCCTTAGAGAGGGAACGGACCAGCCCAAAGTCTGCAGCCTCACCTGCGGCAGAGAGCCAGGATCCTTAAGAAGCCAAGGAGATCAAAGATGAGAAAGTGCTTTGTAAACTGTAAAGTGCTGTCGAAATGTGGGATTATCCTCACCTCTGCCATTTGCACGAAGTCCTCAGGTCATTTCTCAGAGTGGCTTCTTTGGGGGAAGCTGGCGGGAAAGAGCAGGCCTAGGATTAGGGATGTTGTTGGCATCACGGACCTCGGGGGGGAGAACATGGGATTTGGAGACGTCCTGGGAGGCCCGGTGTGCCACTTGGAGTCTGTGACCCTGGGACGGCCTTCTGCCTGTCTTTCTTTCTCTCCGGGGTTGTGTGGGGCTCAAGCAGGACAAGCGTGTAAGCTTTGAGGAAGGCCCGAGCGCTCTTGAGTGCAGGCACCTTCCCGATGCAGTAGCCATGGAGGAGCAGAGGCCCCAAGGCCTGCAGGGCCAGTGTTTAGCACTCCGAAGGCACTTCCTGTCCCCGGGGGCTGGAGCCAGCTGCTGACCGTGCTGGAACCCAAGCATCTGTCTCCCTGCCTCGACAGACTCCAAAGGTGGCGTGCGCCCTTGACGTGCAGCCCTCAGACGCACTTTGTCAAGGTACCTAAGGCGCGACCTTCCATCACCAGGCGCTGACTCGGCCCCCCAGGAGCCCCGTCTCTCCCTTCACACACTGTGGGTGCCAGAAGGCGCCCAGCCAGCCGCTCAGTACCCCCCAAACTCTGCAGGCTTCTGCATCATGGTGACAAGAGAGAGGGCCAGTCTGGATCTATTTCAGGAAGAGAGAAGCGATTTCCCCCAAAGACCTGGGGGACGCTGTCTGCCCTCCCCAGGGTTCTCAGCCAGCGGCTGGACCTATCTCGGGAGGGGCTGGTCTTCCAGGAGGTGGGAGGGAGTTCTACTGCTGGGCCTTCACCCTCTCCAATGTCAAGGCCAGGGGAAGAAATCCACCACGGACATGTCCACCCTAGACCCCAGACACAGGCTCTGAGGCTCCACTCACTCACCCCACAAATATTTATTGAGCACCTATTGTGTGCCCGGTATTTGAGAACAAAAGGAACAGAGTTCTGTCCTCACGGAGCTGACGTTCCAGCAAAGAGCCAGAGAGGGAAGAGATGAGCAAGCAGAGGAGAGGAGGTGGCAGCAGCAGAGGGGAAGAGATCAGGGCAGGGAAAAAGAGCCCAGGGCCGTGGTGGTGGTGGACTTTGAGACTGTGGTCAGGGAAGGCCTCACTGAGAAGGAGCAGTTGAGCAAGGACCCGGAGGTGGTGATGGAGGGAGCAGCTGGGTGGATATCTGGAGGAACAGCATCCCAGACAGAGGGAACAGCACTACAAAGCCCCTGAGGCAAGACAGGCCAGTTTCATCCTTTGTCTTGAGTCCCTTAGGAAAAGAGATGGGACAGGTCTGCTGGTAACCTGAGAGGTGCTCGTGTTCTCCCGTGGGAGATGTGGAGTTCACATGACTATTTAAATGGTGGGACTTTCGTCAGGAGAGAGTTATTCCATCCTCAGAGTCACAGCCTTCTGTTCCTCCAGGGCTCATTCATGCCAGGTCTCTTGGAAGAGCAGAAAGGGCCTGGGCTCAAGTTTCAGCACCTGTGTTACTTTGGGAAAGGCACTCAACCTCTCTGAGCTTCAGTTTCCCTGATGAACCTCATCAGTTGCCTGGGTTAATAATACAACCCCCACCCCACGGCCACTCTCTTTTGACTGTTGTTAGATTTAAACTAATGAGGTCATTCATGGGAACTAGGCCTTTTCCATTGAAATGGTCTAGGTAAATGCAAGGGAATTTTTGTTTTCTTCAGTCGAACTTCTGGCAACAGGGTTGTCACTGCCCACTCCCCTCCTTCACCCCACTCCTCATACTGTGACCTACCTGGGTCCAGTTGACTCTCGACTGGGTCCTAGCTGATCCTAGGACACTCGACCCTCAAGGCCGGGCTCCCTGGAACCCCCTGGGGCTGAGTTGCTTCCCGGGCCACCCAGCAGCTCTTCCCCAATGTCCCCTCCCACCCTCCTCCAGGTACAATGGCCCCAACCTGGTTCTGAAGTATGACCGGGCCCAGAAGCGGCTGGTGAACATCGCCATAGATGAGCGCAGCTCACCCTACTATGCGCTGCGGGACCGCCAGGGGAACGCCATTGGGGTCACAGCCTGCGACATCGACGGGGATGGCCGCGAGGAGATCTACTTCCTCAACACCAATAATGCCTTCTCAGGTGAGCATGGGCCTCCCCTCGACACCGATGGCAGGGGGGGCCCTGGGACCCTGGCCCACTCTCAGGCGACCGTCACTGGCTCTAGGCACAGTGCCCACTGCCTCTGGGACCTCCTGCGTCCAGCAGAGACCCCCAGTTGACCTCGTCTTCTCTCTAATGAAGTTTGGATCATTGTCTCCTGGACCCTGGACTGAGGTGGGGTGGCGTGAACAGGCTGTGTGTCCCCGTCACCTCCCCATCTGAGCAGCCCCCCTCCACCTCTACTCCTCCCACTGTCCCCATGGCGACTCCCATGGGTGGCTTCTGCAGCCAGAACATGGTCCCTGGAGTCGCCCTTTATGCCTCCTCTGGGGCCTTTCTCTGCTGCTTTTAAGTCCCCCCAGGCCCCCCCCCCCGCTTTTAGCTCATGCATCTTCCAGAGATCCTTGCCCCTCACCCCCTGGGTGCCAGACGGAGGTGCTGGGTGACAGGGTGCGGGGGATACAACTTTGAGGAAGGCAGACCGTGAGTCCGTGGATCTTTTGCCAAAGCTTCTCAAACTGCAGTGTGCGTCGGAGTCACCCCGAGGCCTGGTGGGCTCTGGCTCTGCAGGCCGGGGGCACCTAGAGCCTGCGTTGCTGACACTCCCGGGCCTTAACGGTGCTGCTGGTCCAGGGACCACACTCTGAGTAGCGAGGATCTGCACTGAGGAGCGCAGGAGGGAAGTCAATGCCCAGGAGGCTGAACAACAGGCCAATGAACGCCGGTGCTTAAGGAGCACCCACTGGGTGCCAGGCCCCCATCTGCACACTTGACTGTTCTTACGTGAGCCCCACAACAGCTCAGCCAGGAACGTGCCAGTCGTCCTACTAGAGAGTTGAGGAAAGGGGTGACCCACCTTGCCCCCAGCTTTACAGCCTGCAAGTCCTAGGATTCAAACCAGAGTCTGACTCCAGAGTCTCACCTTCAGACGAGACTATGGCTCCCCTCAATCCTCTGTCCTCTGGGGCCAGGAGCAAGCCTTACCTGCAGTGGGTGCTCTGTGCTTCTCAGATTGGGGGCTGTGTTTTGGGGACTGAGGATCGAGGTAGACCCCGTCCCCAACTCTAGCATTTTCTCAGGTCTGCCCCTGTCCCACTAGAATGCAGTCCACTCCTGTGGGGCCATACCATCTGTGGGGAAGCCCTGGCCATGGCGTCCCCCCGGGAGAGGCAGATTGGATGTACTCTGGGCTCCTCCAGATGGCAGCAAGCACTTGGGTTGGCTCTGCTTGGGACCTTATGGTTCCGATCTGTGCAAGCACCGTCCCAGGCCCCCCACAACCTCCTGGAGGCTCTCCCTGCCTGGCGGTGGGCCCCCCCTTCGTGTCCCCCACTCCTGTTCTTCCCCTGAGCCACAATGCTGCCCCTGCTGACTGCCAAGCCCAAGCCAGGATCCAGCCCCTGGTGGGCCGATGTGGAGCTCCGGGTTGCATGAATGGGAGGGGAAGAGGTTGGGGCCCGTGCCAGGGGCAGGGCGGGCGGAGCTGGCTGGCGGGCAGCCAGACTTGTGCAGCCCAGAAACAATGAGCCACAGCCCCGAGTGGTGTTTTATGGGTTTTCATCTCATATTGCCACCAAGTGATGCCTGAGAGACGGTAATTATCCCTACACAAATATCAGGGCATGATTACCCAGCTGGATTTACTGCCCCCTCTCCAACCAAGCCAAGATTGGATTAGGACACAATTAATTGATGGGATGATCAAGTCTTTAATGTGGGGCAAGGTCAGGAAGGGAGCAGCACCAAGAGGCATCTATGGAAGGGGCAGGTCCCCAGGAAGGTTCTGGAAGGCCTGGAAGGAGGAACAGGGACCACCGTGGAAGACTGTCGTAGGTGGCCTCGGCAGGCAGGAGGACAGAGGAAGGGACAGACTCACCCCTACTCAGCCAACACAGAGCCCAGGGAGTCTGTGTCGCAGCGACCCCTCCCACTCTTAGAGGTCTCCACTGTGAATTCCAGAGCAGGGTTCCCCAGCCCGGCTGCCAGTTTCCTGGGAGCTTTCAATGAACCCTGCTGAGCTGCACCCCAGGCAGCCCACCCCCAAGGCTGGAGATGGACCCAGTTATCAGGTTATAGTGTCCCCAGCCAGTTCCCGCTTGTGGCCTAAGACGAGGGCCACTGCCTCCGACTCGGTCATTTTCCTGCTCAGCCCAGCAAGGGCCCCATCCACCCATGAACGTCTTCACTTCGTTGAGCACCTACTGGGTGTGTGCCAGGCACTGTTCTAGGACACGTCAGTGCAGGAACCACAAAAATCCCGTCCTGAAGTTCATGATCTCCCCCAACCCAGCCTCTTTCTCTAAGTATCTGACTCCCCCTCTCCCAGCCCCTAGGACTCTAAGCTCCTGGAGGAGGAAGTTCCTGCATTGGTCATCTCGCGATCCCTGGTGGCCAGAGCCAGACCTTGGCCATCCTGAATTCTCAATTAAAATTGGATAAATAAGTCCCAGCAAGAGCAGGCGGGGCCCAGCCGGTGGCCTACGAGGAGGTTTGCGGGTAGAGGGACAGCCAGGGTAGGCAGGCCAGGTGGGGGCCCGGAAGGCAGCCTTCCTGGGAGGGTGGCATAAGCCTTCAGAGGCTGGTGCTGGCCCCCAGGCCTGGGGCAAGGGTGACAGTGCCCAGCAGCCTCCGCCCCAGGCACACACCTCCTGGCGACCTTCTGTGGGTTAGAGGGAGGCCCGCGGGCTTGAGTTAATTTTTCAGTTGAGCGATTCCATGGATCCATCGACGGGGTGTGGGGTGGAGCCGGGGCGTTTGTGCCCGGTCAGCACTTCTTGGGTCCAGCTGGCACAGCACCACGCCATGGCCACCTGGCCCACTGTGGGGGATCCTGAGAGCCACTCCAGGACCCCAGCCAGCCCAATCCCCTCATGGCCTTCAGGATGTTAGAGGAACCCACAGAAAGAGTCCCTCTCCCTTCCCTCACCTGGCCTTGGGGATGTCTGCGCTGGAGACCCTGCAAGAGGCCGAGCCCCTGCAGTGTCCTGTGGGAATCTGTTCATCAAACCTTGCACCCACACCTTCTTTACTGGGTGGCCTTGGGTGAGATGTGTGACCTCTCTCAGCCTCAACTCTTCATGCATAGGAAAGAAAAAAAATCATAGCAACTTCATAAACTCAGCTCCCTCCAAGGGCTCCGTAGACTGTATTCAAGGTCATAAGCATCCCCTCCAGCACCCCTCCTGGTGGCACCTGGGGTTGCCTTTCGGATCCTGGCTCCAGTCTTCTCTTCCTCACTACGTTTCCTCCTGAAGCAGGAACACTTGCTGTTCCCCCTGCCCGAAATGCTTTTCCTGCTGATTTCCTCAAGGTTCAATCCTCAAATAAACCTCCCTGAACACTTTATCTAAAATCACTCCTGGCCACTCCCTGCGCCCTCCAGTGGCTTCGATTTCCGTCTCGGCTTTGACCCCTGACCGAAGGTGCTCTATTCTGGTTTGGGGTCCGTCTCTCCTACTCGTATTCACTCCAGGGGGCAGGAGCTGGCAGAAACTTTGTCCTGTTCACTGTTGTCCTTCAGGACCCAAAGAAGGGCCTGTCACTTGGTAAACATTAAATACACATTTTTGAACGGACAACTGGGATAATGAATGGAAGTGCCTCCGTGTGACACCTAGGACTTCATGAGCACTAACAGTAGCTGTTACAATTCTGTGGCTATGGGAAAGACAGAGCCTCTAAGAGTGTCCTTGGAGAACACAGGCCGTCCTCCCGGCCCATGGAAAGGGCAGAGGGACAGAAAGGGGGAGGGCCCTGGTGTGAAGAAGGCACCACCCAGCTGGGTGCCACGTGGGCACGGGTCGCGGGCTAAGAGTTAGAAAGTAGGTAGGGAAGGGGGAGGGGAGGAAGGACCTCAGCCCCGGGGAGGAAACTCTCTTATCCCTTAATTGGCCTAGAAAGATGTAAGCCAGGGCTTTCGGGCAGTGCCACCCAAGTGGGAGGGTAAGCAGGGCAACAGGTGACCAGAGGCAGATGTCAGCACCTCCCTCCACCTCCAGGAATCCCACAGCTCCTGGACAGAGCCATCCCCCAGCCACCTTGCTCCATGGCCCTGAGAATCCTGCACATGTGACTAGCCTGGGGTAGCAGGAGTGCGGGTAGTAACTCAGTGTGAAGCCCACCACTCAGTTTATTTTTACTTATTCAACTCAACAAAACGGGCGTTAGAAAAGGTAGTGTTAAAAAATAATTCCTATGCTGCCTCCCTCCTCTCTCTACAAACAGTAGCAGGCCCTGCTCACACTCCAGCTCTTTGCACTTTCAATATATTTTGGGGTATTATTGCATGGCAATCAATATACAGAAGGCTCTCTCATTCTTTTTATAGCTGTATAGTACTCCATTATATAGATTTGCCATTAATTTAATTGGTTTTCTATGGGTGAGCATTTAGATTGCTTGCAGTCACTTTGTCCTTACAAAGAATGCCACCAAATGAATAAGCCTGCACAATATGCCATTTCCCACATTTGCAGGTTTATTTGTAAAATAAATTCACAGAAACAGTGGCTGCGTCAAAGGAATACACACATGTAGTTTTGATAAATGTGGCAAATTGCTCTCCCTAGAGACGGTACTCATTACACTGCCATCAGCCATGTCCCTGAGCGAGCACTTTCCAACACTCACTAACACAAATGTTTTATCAATTTTTTTTTTTGATTTGCCAATCTGATAGGAAAAAATTGATTTCCAAGTGTAGTTTTAATTTTCATTTTTCTTAAATGAGTGAGGCTGAGAGTATTTGTATATATTTGAAACTCCTGTCTGCTCATAGCCTCTGCCCATTTTTTTTCTATTGATTATTGGCTTTTTATTATTGATTTGGAACACCTCTTTATAAATTAGGGAAATTAGCCCTTCGTCTGGAATATAAGTTGCAGATAATTCTCCCTGTTTGTCATTTTTCTTTTGTCTTTGCTCATGGGTGGGTTTTGTAATGTAGAAAACTTTCATTTTTATGGATCTGAATTTATGACTCTTTTCTTTTATGGTTGCTGGGCTGTGTGTCATACCAGAGAGGCTTCTGCAGGGGCTTTCGTAGCCTCTTGGAGAGGGGAGGGGAAGAGGGGAGAGGGGAGGAGAGGAGAGGAGAGGAGAAGGAGAGGAGAGGAGAAGGAGGTGTTAGTCTCCGCACTACAGAGAGGAAAGGGGATTCAGATGGGCCGCACTTCTGGCCTCTTCTGCCTACACAACAGATGAGCGGTCTGCTCTTGAGAGAAGCATCCCTGTCCAGCAGCCCCTTCAGCCAGGCCCGGTTCCAACTGCACCCGAAAGCTCTGCGCCTCTCTATTCAGTGTGAAGCATGGGCCAGTGGCTCTGGAGTCAGCTGGAAACTCTTGAAATGCAGGCTCTAGGCCCCACCCTGAGAGTCCGAGTCTCCACCCTCTTTTCCTAGGATTCTCTAGGCCCTAGGATGGATTCTGGTCTCCTGACCTCCCCACCAGGTTTCACTTGGATGCAAAGTCCTGGTTTCAGCTTCCCAGCAGGGCCCCATTTGGGGAGATGGGCTCAGGGTGGGCTCAGGCTCCCTCCCCTTCCCTCTCATCATGCCTCCTCACACCCTGCGGAAGCACACAGTGAGGAGCAGGGGCCCCAGAGACCAGGGCCTTGGCCCTACAAAGAATGAGATTCCTTGGGGGGCTGGGGACGGCCCCCACCCCGACAAGCTGCCCTGCTCGGTAACACTGGGGCAGGGGGCTTTGCAGCCCTGGACCACGGTTCCAAGTTCAGCGTGGCCACTTACAGGAAGCTGAGCAACCTCGGGGCGAGTGGGTTGGCCCTGAG